GGGCCCCTGCCTCTCACAGAGGAGCGGCCACTGCAGGACCGTGTCTTAGGGTGGAGGTTGGGATGCACCCTCACCACGCTCACAAACTGCTACTGAGACTAATGTTTAGTTTACAAATTAACTGGTGCTGCAGCAGGGTCTGTCCCCAGGCAGGCAGAGAGCCTGCAGAACTCACCCTATTTATAGATCAGAAATCACTGTTAGAATTAAGTACCACTGTCAAATTAGCCAGTTAGCACTGGCCAGGTACATACTCTCTGTCAGAGGCATCTATTGTCCATTTTGCTGCCAGTTATCAGAACCCTTATGATCTTTTCTTGCTGTGGACTTATCTGGCAGAGCGAGAGGCCTGTTCTAGTCTGTCCTTGGCTGAATCAGCAAAAAGACACCAGTTTTGCTTTACTGGCTTGAAAGGCATTTTGTTTAGTCTTATGTGGGGGTAGAGAAGATGGACTGTTACCCATAACTGGTGATAAATGATTGAGAGTGGCTAGACCACTTCCTCTGCCAGCCTCCTCAGCACCCTAGGATGAATCCCATCCAGACCCATGGACTTGTTGGGATCTAAGTGGCACAAAAGGTCTCATTCTGGTTTTCTTTGAATTGGTCCCTTTGGTATCTCCTTCCTTTTAGAAAGTATTTCAGTGTAGGTAGTTGTTCGAATGTTATAATGAAGCCTTTTGGAACAGTCCTAAGATGTGCTTTAGATGAGCCTGTATGGTGTACTGTCATCAAGAGGTCAGCTCCTGGCTTGAGTGGTGCCTGTCTTGGGGTACAAGGAAAGATGGTATTTATCCTGAAGCTGTATTCAATCCTAGTTTCAATAGTTCAGTGAAAGGTTTCCTGGCATGTGGCAACTTCTACAGCTTTTATTCTCAAAGAGAGAGAACTTCATGAAGAAAATCATGCCAACCAAGTGTGCTGTGAATTTTTTTTTTATGAGTTACTGGCATAAACAAAGCCAGCTATTCCCACATTAATTCTTCCTGCTGTCTGCAAACTGCCTTCAGAAAGTAAACAAGTGACAGCTTGTCAGTGTTTGAGTCTGGCAAAACAGCTTGTGAAAGAAAAATCATCCCAGTATTTACTCGAAAAGTCCAAGCAAGCCTTCCAATGAAATTGTGGTTGGTGTAAGCTCATGAGAATAGCAGAGCCAGGAAATGGTGTGCTCTAACGATTCTGCTGGTGGTTGGGGCAGCCAGGGTGCCCTGCTTAGCTGCAGAAGCATTCAGAATGCAGAGCTTGTCTGTACCTGTGTTGCTTGGTCTCTTTCCAAGTCTGAAACTTGTCTTTCATGTCTTTCCTACTCATCTGGAAGACCTTCCCAGCCAGAGAAGGCTGGCTTTTTTTTGGAAGATTTAAATAGCAGAGCTATGGGATTGTGGCATGTGGCTCAGGTTTTATGAAGGTGCTGGAGACAACTTCTAGTGATAGACAAAGTGGGCATTGATCTCCGGTCTACTGAAAAGGATGTTCACCTTCAATCATTGAGGATCCTTCTTTCCTGAGCTGGGTCTTCTCCCCAGCTCCCTCTGGGAGGAGGTTGCTGGGCATCTCTTGATCTCACCATGCAAAGTCTTTCTCCCAGATGCAGACCCATAGTCTGTACGTGTTTAAATATGGTACTAATTCAGGAGTCAATTTGTATGTTTTAATCTGTTGGCAGCTGTGATGTGCTGGCTGGGATCTTCAGTGAGGCTCACCAGCTGTTGGTCCTGGCTGGGATGGAGCTGATGGAAACCACAGCAGCGCAGTCGGTGCTGCACTGGTGGCTGGAAGGGGCTGCTGCTCACACACCAGTGTCTGGCAGTGCTCCCACAGTAGTCTTGTCTCTCCAGTGCCCCTCCAAAGGCCAGAAAGCTGGGGGTGGGCAAGAAGCTGGGAGAAGGCATAGCCAGGACAGTTGTCCCAAGCTGACCAAAGGGATATTCCATACCCTGTGGCATAATGCTTAGCAATAAAAGCCAAGAGAAAGGAGGAGGGGAAGAAGAGAGGGGGAGGCAGATGCTATTCAGGCATTTGTCTTCTGGACCAGCTGATGCTGGTACTGAGTTCCTGCTTCCCAGGAGTGGCTGGACATCCCCTGCTGGTGGCAACTGGATAATAAATACTGTTTTCCTTTGCTTCTGTGTGGCCTTTGCTTTTTCTTTATTCAACTGCTTTTATCTTGATTTATGAGTTCTTGCTCTTCTTACTTCTCCCCCCTCTCCCTTGCCTCTCACAGAGGAGCGGCCACTGCAGGACCGTGTCTTAGGGTGGAGGTTGGGATGCACCCTCACCACGCTCACAAACTGCTACTGAGACTAATGTTTAGTTTACAAATTAACTGGTGCTGCAGCAGGGTCTGTCCCCAGGCAGGCAGAGAGCCTGCAGAACTCACCCTATTTATAGATCAGAAATCACTGTTAGAATTAAGTACCACTGTCAAATTAGCCAGTTAGCACTGGCCAGGTACATACTCTCTGTCAGAGGCATCTATTGTCCATTTTGCTGCCAGTTATCAGAACCCTTATGATCTTTTCTTGCTGTGGACTTATCTGGCAGAGCGAGAGGCCTGTTCTAGTCTGTCCTTGGCTGAATCAGCAAAAAGACACCAGTTTTGCTTTACTGGCTTGAAAGGCATTTTGTTTAGTCTTATGTGGGGGTAGAGAAGATGGACTGTTACCCATAACTGGTGATAAATGATTGAGAGTGGCTAGACCACTTCCTCTGCCAGCCTCCTCAGCACCCTAGGATGAATCCCATCCAGACCCATGGACTTGTTGGGATCTAAGTGGCACAAAAGGTCTCATTCTGGTTTTCTTTGAATTGGTCCCTTTGGTATCTCCTTCCTT